TAGAAATTGGAGGGGGCGGTAACGTTTGGGGGCCCTTTATAGGGGCCGAGGGGGCCCCTTGGGGGGGGGGGGGTAAATAAAAAAAAAGGGGTTTTCCCCCGGGGCGTTTTTTGTTTTTTGAAGGGTTCAGGGGGGGTTTTTGGGGCCGTTTTTTTCCCTTTTGGGGAAAAAAGCCCCCCCCCCCCCCCCCCCGCGCGCCCCGCCCCGCAAGGCGCGACACACACACACGGGGTTTTATGGCGGCTTGTGGCATGCCTTTCAATCTCGGCGGTGGGTTCGCCCTAAGGAGTTCCTCCAAGCGCCCCCGTGAAGGCCAGCCGCCTGCCCGCTTCAAAGGTGTAGGTGTGGAGCGGCTCCGGCCGGTAGCGCAACTGGCCGAACGCGGACCACACTCGCCTCGCCAGCGGCGGGGGAGCGTGCTTGAGCGGATGGCTCCACGCCAGCCGCGTGTCGTTGCCCATGAGGGGCGCGTTGCGCATGGCCGAGTTCGGGTAGCTCATCCGCTTCCACGTCGCGTCCGCCAGCCGCAAGCGTGGCACACACCTGCCGAGATATACCCGAGATATACCCGAGACACACCCGAGACACACCCGAGATACGACCGAGAGCAAGCACGGCACACACCGCGCGAGAGGGAGGCCCTGGTTCCCGTCCATCGAGGAGAAGTCCTCGCGCAGCGTCTCGCCTGCTCACAGGTGGAGGTGTGAGGAGTTCACAAATCCGCCGCGAGCAGTCCTGGCGCGGCGTCTCACCCGCCACCGACAGGGAGGCAAAGTAGCGGCCGGACGTGGAGCACTCGGCGACTGCCCTTGCGAGCGGCGCCGACCGCACCTAAGGGAAGGGAAGGGAAGGGAAGGTTCTCCACACACACGAGGGGCAAGGGCCAGGCAACTCGCAACTCCACGTCCAGATAGAGAGGAGCGCCACGGTGTTAACAGTGCAAGGCCCGGTCCGCGTGGGTGGGCGGTGACTGTGTGGTGTGTGTGTGTGTGTGTGCGTGCGTGTGTGCGTGGGCGTGCGCGTGTGTGTGTGTGTGTGTGCGTGCGTTTTTGCGGGCGTGCGTGTGTGTGTGTGTGTGTGTGTGTGTGTGCGTGTGTGTGTGTGTG